AGACCCATAACTGAGACAGAAATTGAAACAGTAATAAAGGCCCTCCCAACAAAGAAAAGCCTAGGACCAGAGGGATTCACTGCTGAATTCTACCAGACATTTAAAGAAGAACTAACTCCAATTCTCAAACTATTCAGAACAACTGAAAAAGAGGGAATCCTCCCAAATTCTTTCTATGAAACCAGATCACCTTAATCCCTAAACCAGAGAAAGATGCAGCATTGAAAGAGAATTTCAGACCAATATCCCTGATGAACATAGATGCAAAAATCCTCAATAAAATTCTCGCCAATAGAATGCAACAACACATCAGAAAGATCATCTACCCAGACCAAGTGGGATTTATTCCTGGTATGCAGGGATGGTTTAATGTGCGCAAAACAATCAATGTGATACACCACATTAACAGACTGCAGAAGAAAAACCATATGATTATCTCAATAGATGCCGAGAAAGCATTTGATAAAATACAACACCCGTTCATGATGAAAACTCTAAGCAAACTGGATTTGGAAGGAACATTCCTCAATACAATCAAAGCAATTTATGAAAAACCCACAGTCAACATCCTATTGAATGGGGAAACGTTGGAAGCATTTCCACTGAGATCTGGTACCAGACAGGGATGCCCACTCTCACCACTGCTATTCAATATAGTTCTGGAAGTTTTAGCCAGAGCTATTAGGCAAGATAAAGAAATTAAAGGGATACAAATTGGGAAGGAAGAACTCAAACTATCCCTCTTTGCAGATGATATGATTCTTTATTTAGGGGACCCAAAGAACTTTACTAAGAGACTATTGGGACTCATAGAAGATTTTGGCAAAGTAGCAGGGTATAAAATCAATGCACAAAAATCAACAGCCTTTGTATACACAGGCAATGCCATGGCTGAGGAAGAACTTCGAAGATCAATCCCATTCACAATAGCTACAAAACAATCAAATACCTTGGAATAAACTTAACCAAGGACGTTAAAGACCTCTGCAATGAAAATTACAAAACCTTGAAGAAAGAAATAGAAGAGGATACCAAAAAATGGAAAAATCTTCCATGCTCATGGATTGGAAGAATCAATATCATCAAAATGTCCATTCTCCCAGAAGCAATTTATACATTCAATGCAATACCAATCAAGGTACCGAAGACCTTCTTCTCAGATCTGGAAAAAATGATGCTGAAATTCATATGGAGACACAAGAGACCTCAAATTGCTAAAGCAATCTTGTATAAGAAAAACAAAGCTGGAGGCATCACAATACCAGATTTCAGGACATACTACAGGGCAGTTGTTATCAAAACAGCAAGGTACTGGTACAGAAACAGATGGATAGACCAATGGAACAGAATAGAAACACCAGAAAGCAATTCCAACATCTACAAGAAATTCATATTTGATCAAGGATCCAAAACCTATCCCTGGAGTAAGGACAGTCTATTCAATAAATGGTGCTGGGAAAACTGGAAGTCCACATGCAGAATCATGAAGCAAGAACCCTACCTTTCACCTTACACAAAAATTCACTCAACATGGATTAAAGACTTAAATCTATGACCCGACACCATCACATTATTAGAGAGCATTGGAGAAACTCTGTAAGATATAGGTACTGGCAAAGACTTCTTGGAAAATACCCCAGAAGCACAGGCAGTCAAAGCCAAAATTAACATTTGGGATTGCATCAAATTGAGAAGTTTCTGTACTTCAAAAGAAACAGTCAGGAAAGTGAAGAGACAACTGACAGAATGGGAAAATATATTTGCAAACTATGCAACAGATAAAGGGTTGATAACCAGAATCTACAAAGAGATCAAGAAACTCCACAACAACAAAACAAACAACCCACTTAAGAGATGGGCCAAGGACCTCAATAGACATAATTGAAAAGAGGAAATCCAAATGGCCAACAGACACATGAAAAAATGTTCAAGGTCATTAGCAATCAGGGAAATGCAAATCAAAACCACAATGAGGTTTCACCTCACCCCGGTTAGAATGGCTCACATTCAGAAATCTACCAACAACAGATGCTGGAGAGGATGTGGGGAAAAAGGGACACTAACCCACTGTTGGTGGGAATGCAAACTGGTTAAGCCACTATGGAAGTCAGTCTGGAGATTCCTCAGAAACCTGAATATAACCCTACCATTCAACCCAGCCATCCCACTCCTTGGATTTACCCAAAGGAAATGAAATTGGCAAACAAACAAGCTGTCTGCACATTAATGTTTATTGCAGCTCAATTCACAATAGCTAAGACCTGGAACCAACCCAAATGCCCATCAGCAGTAGACTGGATAAAGAAATTATGGGACATGTACTCTACAGAATACTATACAGCAGTCAAAAACAATGAAACCCGGTCATTTGCAACAAGATGGAGGAATCTGGAGAACATCATGCTGAGTGAATTAAGCCAGTCCCAAAGGGACAAATATCATATGTTCTCCCTGATCAGCGACAACTAACTGAGCACCAAAGGGAAAATTGTTGAAGTGAAATGGACACTATGAGAAACAGTGACTTGATCAGCTCTTGTCCTGACTGTTGATGTACAATGTAATACTTTATCCATTTTAGTATTTTTTTGTTCTAGTACTATTGGATGAACTCTGTAATTAACACACAATTATTCTTAGGTGTTTAAATTTTAACTGAAAAGTGATCCCTTTTAGGAATTTGGAAAACATTATGCTGAGTGAAATAAGCCAGTCCCAAAGGGACAAATATCATATGTTCTCCCTAATCAGTGACAACTAAGTGTGCACCAAAAAGGAAACCTGTTAAAGTGAAATGAACACTATGAGAAACGGTGACTTGATCAGCCCTTGCCCTTACTGTTGATGAACAACTTAATACGTTATCCCTCTTAGTATTTTTTGTTTGTTTGTTCTACTTAATATTTTTGTTTTAATACTGTCATCAATACACAGTTATTCTTAAGTGCTGAAACTTAACTGAAAAGTGATCACTGTTAAATATAAGAGTGGGAATAAGAGAGGGAAGAGATGTGCAATTTGGGACATGCTCAAGCTGACTTGCCCCAAACGGTAGAGTTAGAAACATACCAGGGGATTCCAATTCAATCCCATCAAGGTGGCATGTACCAATGCCATCTCACTAGTCCCAGTGATCAATTTCTGTTCACAATTGATCATAATGATAGGACTATGAGCCAAAGGGATCATATAAACAAGATTAGTGTCTGCAAATACTAGCTGATAGAAGAAAAAAGGGAGAGAATGATCCAACATGGGAATTGAGATACACAGCAGACCCATAGAATGGCAGATGTCCTAAACAGCACTCTGGCCTCAGAATCAGCCCTTAAGGCATGCGGATCCGGCTGAAATGCCCATGAGAGTATTTCAGGCATGGAAAGCCAAGACACTCTGGAAAAAAAAATGACCTAAATGAAAGATCTCCATGAGTGAGATCCCAGTGGAAAGAACAGGTCATCAAAGAAGGAGGTACCTTTCTCTGAAGGGAGGAGAGAACTTCCACTTTGACTATGACGTTGTCTAAATATGATCAGAGTCGGTGAACTCAAAAGGCTTCCATAGCCTTGGCAACTCATGACAAGAGCCTAGGGTGATTACTGCTGCCATAAACAAGAGTGTCAATTTGTTAAGTCAACAACAGAAGTCACTGTGCACTTACTCCTCATGTAGGATCTCTGTCCTTAATGTGCTGTGCATTGTGATTTAATGCTCTAACTAGTACTCAAACAGTATTTTTCACTTTGTGTTTCTATGTGGGTACAAACTGTTGAAATCTTTACTTAATATATACTAAGCTGATCTTCTGTATATTAAGATAATCGAAAATGAATCTTGATGTGAATGGAAGGGGGGAGGGAGAGGGAAAGGGGAGGGTTGTGGGTGCTAGGGAAGTTATGGGGAGGAAGCCATTGTAATCCATAATCTGTACTTTGGAAATTTATATTCATTAAATAAAAGTTAAAAAAATAAAGTATGTTTTCACTCAAAAATACCAAGAAAAATACTGTGCCGCTTATTGAGTTGTATATTTCTATGCTATATATTATGACATTACTGCTTATTTTTTATATGCAAATTTCTATTAAAACAAAGATGCAAACATTCCTCTCATTGATTGTCATGGGCTTTTGTACAGTAAAGATAAACATAATAAAACTGCAATTCAAAGAAGAATATTCTTATCAGAGAGAACAGACTGGCAGCATAGTTCCTTACTGTGTCGGACAACAAAAATTTTTATGACATTCTGCACATTGAATGCAAATTTATTGACTTTTGCCATTTCTTATTCAGAAATATATGTGGCATCAAAGAGAGAAGTACATTTGTTGGTGTGATTCAAGCAGTTAATTAAATGTTAATTTCTAGAATGTTCCCTCTGAAACTCAACTGGTACTTAAAAAGTAACTACAGAATTACGCTTAGGGACAGGGTTGTCACTCAAAACCTCAGCTGGGATCAGTATCCTACCAGACTTTGGTTCCACTAAGGAGAGAACAAAAATTATATCCATAGTAAATGCTTTTGAAAAATGAGGTCTCAATATAAAGCAGGTGCTGAGAGGCAGGCTTGAGGAAGGAGGCTGAGTCAGGAGCACATATTATTTTACCTGAGAAATCAGGGAATTTTAAGATCCTATTTTTACCATAATCAATCCAGTATCTAAATCATCCACACCATTTCCACTAGTACATATCATATTGTAACAGGATAAGAAAGAGTAGATGATTTAGCTCACAAAGAAAACTGCTTTGTACAAGGAAGGTCAAAACTTTTCTCCAAAAGCCTCTATTGAGAATGTTCATTTGTTTTAGTAGCAATGGGAAGCAATGTGATCTTGGTCAATGATTCTCTATGAGAATGGATAGCTCTCATGGTAATTTTATGAGTACGTAGGGGCACTGTCTTGGGTTGTGAAAATGACAGAGGGCCTACCCTACTCAGTGGGCTTATGCCAAGAAGCTCTATGTAATGCAGTGTGCAGGAGAGCTCCTTACTTGTTTCGCACCTAGTATGTGCCATGCTCCTGGACGCTGATGTTGGCGGAAAGCAGTTTATAATCTCCTGAGGTCACAATCCAACTCTGTTTGAAACACAAATATAAGTTATTTTTGGCAAGGTTCTAAGCTACCCTGAATTCTTTAGGAACTCAATTACTGTGTATAACAAGGGAGAGTTGTACTCCTCCTCCAGGAACAGTTTACCAAGATTCATCCACCCATGTAGAAAATCACACTGACATTACTAATTCCACTATAAATTGGTTTATAAATTGCCAAAACACCAAGTTTACCAGTTTGAATTTGCAGTTGCCATATTTATGGTGATTTTTTTACATACAGACATCATCAGCTGACAGTATGTGTCTCCCAGTGATACTATCTCCAAGTATTACAGATTGAGATGTATATCATTTTATTCTAAGTTTTCTTTATTTTTCATAATATTAAATTTTGGGTTTATTTTTAAAATACATGTTTGTAAATTATAACATCTACGTGCTATGTTGGAGGATAAGAAAAGGAGAGTTAGATAGAGGGTTTGGTATTGTAGCACAGTGGGTTAAGCGGCCACCTATGACACCAACATCCTATATGAGTGCCAGTTTGACTTTCAGCTGCTACACTTGTAATCCAGCTCCTTGCTAATGTCCCCAAAAAGCAGTGGATGATGGCCCAAGTGCTTGGGCCCCTGCCACCCACTTGGGAGACCTATATGGAGTTCCAGACTCCTAGTTTCAGCCTGGCCCAAACCCAGCTATTGTGGCCACTTAGGGGGTCAAGCAGTGGGTAGCAGATTTGTCTTTGTAATTCCATCCTTCAAATAGATAAATACATATTGAGAAAAGTTAGAAAATGTTTAGATGAAGAGGTATTGGGTTTGGTAGGGATGAGATATCCTGGCAATAATGGGGGGATAGCTCATCTGGAGATCTGGCCAACCATCGTGTGATTGGAGAAGTTGTATTATTGTCTTGAGTCTACTCAATGGATGGTGAATGGATGCATTAGATCTATAGCACTTTTGATGTTAAGCCACAGTGTCTGATTTTGACACTAGTTTAGGTTTCAGAATATATAAATCTTTTTTTCTTCAATAACAATTTTATCATTTTTCAATAGTTTTTATTTTAATTTTAATGAGTTTTTAACAGATTCAATGTAATGTATAGATGCAATTCTAAGAATATAATGATAATTTAATGATATTTCCTCCTCCCCCTCTTGCCTCCCATCTCCTACCATTCTCTGTTCTCCCTTTATTTCAGTCTTTTTTTTTTTTTTAGTTTTTGAGATAACATATTTTAAAATTACATTATGGTAAACAGGGTTAATACTTTACCAAATAAGAAGTTTAACAAGTAAAAAGAAAAAGACTCTAGTGGGAATATAGACATGTCTATAAAGAATAATTGAATGGAAAAATCACCATTTTACTCAAATATAATACATTTTAAAGTAATCACAGATCATTAAACTATAGTGGTATAACATCCTTAACTGTTGGTTCCACAAAGTATAAAACAAAGTTTTACAAAACTATATTTGCAGCAACAATGATGCACACTGACATTTCTCTCTTTTTCCTTCTTTTCTAAATTTTAGCTCCTACATGTAAGGGAGAACATGAAGTATTTGTCTTTCTGGGTCCAGCTTATTTCACTCAACATATGTCCTCCAGTTGTGTCAAATTTTGCTGAAATGATAGAATTTCATTCTTTTTATTACTGAATAATATTCCATTGTGTATATATACCACATTTTCTTTATCCATTCATCTGATGATGGGCAGCTTGGTTGGTTCCAAATTTTGGCTTCTGTAAACAGTGCTGCTGTAAACATGGTGGTGCAGGTACCTCTTTGATATTTTGTGCTCGAGTCTTTTGTGTATATGCCCAGTAGTGGGATTGCTGGATCATGTAAGTCCATTTCTATTTTTTTTTTTTTTAAGAAATCTCCACACTGTTTTCCATAGTGGCTGAACTAATTTACATTCCCACCAACAGTGTATAAGTGTTCTCCTTTGTCCACATCCTTGCCAGCATTTGTTACTGTGTTTTGGATTTTGGCCATTCTGACAGGTGTAAAGGGATATCTCATTTGTTTTTCATTTGCATTTCTCTGATGGCTAGTGATGTTGGTCATTTTCTCATATATTTATTAGACATTTGCATTTCTTCTTTTGAGAAGGACTTCCAATAATTAAATTTTTTTCAAAAGTGAAAGCGCTGAGTTGGCTGGGAAAAGTACACACTGGGAACTGGCACAATGCAGTTCTCTCTGACGCAGGTGTTGAATGCATTTGACTGGCTGCTCTAGATAAGCAATACCATGGTTAACTGGAAAGTTTGAGAACTCCCCATGGGGATTATATGCAGGGATAGTGGAAGAGTTGAATATATAATTTTTAAATTCATTCACCTGAAAGTCAGAGTTAGAGAGAGAAACAGAGAGAGAGCTCTCCCATCTGCTGGTTCACTCCCCAGATGGTCACAATGGTCAGTGCTGGGCCAGGCTGAAGCCAGGAACTTCTTCCAGATCTTCCATGAGGGTAAAGGGGCCCAAGCTTTTGGGCCATCCTCTACTGATTTCCCAGGCCATCAGCAGGGAGCTGTATCGGAAGTGGAGCAGCTGGGACATAAACCAGCACCCATGTGGAATGCAAGCATTGCAAGTGGTGGTTTTCCACACTATACCACAGTGCTGGCCCCTGAATATATAAATTTTTATATATCCATTAAAATTATATATACATATATATATGGCCACTAAAATCTTAGAAGTGAATTTTGTAAACGTGTTAAAGTTTGGGAATACTAACATGTTAAAAAAAGTTGGGAATTTGAATTTGTTAGGGAAAATGTGCTATAGAAACCTAGAAAGCAAAACCTTTTGGTACTAAAATTCCTGAATTAAAAAAGTATTACATTGTCAATTTTCTACAGTTTCTGTAATACAAATTTATTACTTATTCAGGGAGACCTGGCTGTGTTAGTCAATTCAGGCTGCTATAACACGGTATTAGAGATTTCGGGTCTTGAATGTAGAAATCTATTTTATACAGTTATATGCGCTAGGAAATTCATGATCAAGGTGCTAGTTGAGTTGTTTTCTGGTGAAGTGCCCAGTCCCAGGTTCCATTCTTGCTGTACGTTCACTCAGGAGATACAGAGAGAAGCAAGCTCCTCCATCATTCTCTCTCTCTTTCTTTTATTTAAAGATTTATTTATCTATTTCAAAGACAAAGTTACAGAGAGAGGGAAATGGAGAGAGAGAGAGGGAGAGAGAGAGAAATTTTCCATCCATTGGTTCACTCTCCAAAGTGCTGCAACGTCAGGAGCTGAGCCCATCGAAACCAGGAGCCAGGAGCTTCTTCCAGGTCTCCCACATGGGTAGCAGGGGCCCAATTACTTGGGCCACCTCCCACTGCTTCCCCAGGCCATCAGCAGGAAGCTGGATTGGAACTAGAACACCCAGGACACAAACAGGTACCCCTTGGAATGCCAGAGACACAGGCAGTGCCTTTACCTACCACACCATAATGCCGGTCCTGGGGGTTGAATTTTTACAAAAATTAAAATAGCTCTCCTCACTTTGGGTTTTACGGATTTTTGTTTTGGTTTTGTTTGGGTTATTTGTGTATTTCGCACAGATATTAGATGCAGGGGGAAAAATCCAGGGTATTAACTCATAAAGGATTTATGTATTTGATTGTCTTTGTGAATCAACTTAAATGTGAAAATTTCCAATCAGGTTTATGTCCTGCAAAGCACATAGCACGTGCATTATTACAGACTGTAAAAGTCAAATCACAGTAATAAGAAGGTTCTTTACAAGTTGGTTAAATAAGATCAAATTAAAATGTTGGTACCAGTATACACTATAACCTGTTCACTACTGATCAGCTAAAAATGCAGTAGCCACACTCTATATGATCGATTTTCTAGGGGCTCAGCTCCAGTCTAAGAGGCTATAGTGCACGTTCTCCATCCCTGCTGCCAAGTGCCAGCTATGATCAGTCCCTGGGAGAAGCACCTGTGCTCCAGCTCTCAGCCCAAGGCTGACCCAGCAGACCCAGTTTTTTTTTTTTTATCCCCATGTTTCACTTCCTCACCATGTCTCCACTCACACACAGAAACTGACCTGAGGGCTGGAGTCACCAAAAATTGCAAGCACATGGAGAAGGGAAGCAGTCAGCCTTTGAACTTTGGATCAGCCCCACTGGCCAGGAAAGCAGTTGCATTTCCTGCCATGCTGTTCTTGATACCTACCCAGTGCCTTGTCCACAGGGTAGTGAAGGTTTGGATGAACCTGCCCACGTCCCAGGTCCTGCAAACTAGAAGAAATACTTGTGGGTGGTAGGGACACGTTGGGCTAGCTACCCAGCCCTCGTGCGGGTGACCAATGCTCTTGCCAGGGACTAGCATCCCTTCAGGGTCTCTAGCACCTGCTATCAGATGGTCCTGGCACCAACTATATTACATCAGCCTAGAGCTTGACTTGAGCTAAACTGTATGACCCTAGACCTTGAGCGACCTGCTTTCCAAGCACAATTCTGGAACCACATTAGGTACTGACATGGAGTCCTGCTCCATAACCATCCCTGAAAGGAGACAGCGAGTCCTGAGGATGAGCCGTGAGCAGTGACTAGCTGGAGATGCAGAGCAGATTTCTGAATGTGATTAATATCTATCACAGTCTATTCCTAGGAAATCAAAAGCGTTTTTTAAAAAAATTGTAAAGTGCTAAATTCATATAATGTTGTATCATTTTTTAAAAGATTTATTTATTTTGAAAGAGTTACATAGAAAGAGGAGAGGCAGAGAGAGAGAGAGGTCTTCCATCCGATGGTTCACTCCCCAATTGGCTGCGACGGCCAGAGCTGTGCCGATCCGAAGCCAGGATCCAGGAGCTTTTTCCAGGTCTCCCATGTGGGTGCAGGGGCCAAAGGACTTGGGCCACCTTCTACTGCTATCCCAGGCCACAGCAGAGAGCTGGACTGTAAGTGGAACAGCTGGGACTAGAACCGGCGTCCATATGGGATGTCGGCGCTTCAGGCCAGGGCATTAACCCACTGCGCCACAGCGCCGGCCCCATAATGTTTTATCATTTCTGTTTTTATTCATCCAAATGCATAGTATGACAAGGCCCTTGGCACATTCTCAGTGAATACTTCCATTTAACTATGAGAAGTATTACTCTTTCTATTGACAAGCCCGTCACTGCCTGAAACTGATTGGCAATGATGTGACATAGACATAAAAATCACCAATCTAGAATTCATAGACAAACAAATGCAATAGCAAGGATGACTTGTTCAACATATCAGATATTGAGTAATAAATGTATTCTAGTCTGATATGCATTTGTTATAAACCCGCAATCTAGAGCGCCTCCATTAGATCCAATTTATTTGACTTCACATGTGGTGTCCGTTCAGTTTGAACACTGGCAGGCCCCATAAAAAATGGTCAAGAAAGACGGTAACCCCAGTTGCTTCTCTATTGGTTTGTTTGCATGCTGGATTTTCTTTTAATCATCGTTACTCTGCGATTTAACAGTAGGTGGCTAATGGAAATGTTATTCACGGTAGTGGCAGGCTAAAACAGTGGGAAGTAGGGTGGAGGGGGAGCATTGCGGAAAAGGAGGAAATGTGTTTACACTTGAAGATGTCACATGAAACAGCTGGAGCTGTGAGCCCTTCCTACTAGAACTGGCATGTTCTTTAAAGAACTCATCTACATCATTATATGTTCCTTCACACTTAGAAATCTATTAATTTACAATTAGTTGTATTGATTTTCTAGTAGATTTGTAATTTCTGTAATAATTTACAGAGTACTGAAGAAATTAACTATGCCCCTTGGAAAGATAAGCATTACTGAAAAATAGATCCCAGCATGAGTTATTGAACACATCATTGAATGTCTGGATTTTTTGGCTTTAAATTCTAATTTAATTACAGCAGAACTGATTGGGGAATTCCAGCTAAGTATCCAAAAAGAGCTTTCTTCATCCCCTCCCTATAATGCTTTAAGAATAATTCTAACCTGAGATCTAGGTAAGAACATATTTTTTTTTGGAAGGGATGGGGGATTCATTTTAAGCTTGCAAACAAGAGGAGGCATTTTTTCCAACAATCCACACTGGCCCAGAAGTGTAATTTTCCCCCATATTACAAGATATAACAATAATATTAGTAAAAAAATTGCAAGTGCTTCATAACTGCTTTAAATTATTCCTGTTTTGGTAAAAGTGCTAGTGAGTATACTAGGAGGTGCAGGCTGATAACACAGGGAATTGTAATCTGCCGATGTTTGAAGAGGCTTCAATCCAGTGAGGGAGGTAGGATGATGAAGGGACAGTGTCTGTGCGGTGTCTTTAGTGCTATGACAGGACATGCACAGGGCACTCGGGGAGAAACTCAACCCATTAGGACACTGAGTGTGCCAGGAAAGTGTCAAGGAGGAGGTAATTCTGAAATAAGAACTGAGTTGCTAGGATTCTTGTAAGGCCAAAAACAATTGAGTTTTCAAATGTTTTCCTTTGTGAGATCCATTGTAATTTCAAGATAATTTCTAACCATTCCATGTCATTTTTCAGCCTTATGCTTGTACTATTTCCTTTTGTACTGCTTTTCCCATCATGAAACAATTTTCGAAGTGCTTTCTCCTTTGAAGAGTACACAGAGATACAAGAGTACATGATTATTATGTGGTCAGAAAGCAGTAAATCTGAGCTCTCGGTTCACATTGGGTCAAAATGTCAGAGCACCATAAGGAAAAGGCCCAGGGCCAGCATCCCCTGGTTTAACAAATGTCAGTGGTTATCATGGAATATAGAGTAACTTCTATCCAGTACTGCCACTTCCCAATGTGCTGAGGTTCAGGACGAATGTGGAACGTAAACCTGTAGCTCCAACACATCACAAGTGGTCTTGGAGCAATCATGTTATTGCCAAGGTCACTCAATGGAAACTGGTGGGCTAGACTAGATCGCTACAACACCCTCCCCCCCTTTTTTTTCTTGGACAGGCAGAGTAGACAGAGAGAGAGAGGGACAGAGAGAAAGGTCTTCCTTTTCCGTTGGTTCACCCCACAATGGCTGCTGCGGCTGGTGCACTGTGGCCGGCGCACCGTGCTGATCTGAAGGCAGGAGCCAGGTACTTCTCCTGGTCTCCCATGCAGGTGCAGGGCCCAAAGACTTGGGTCATCATCCACTGCACTCCCTGGCCACAGCAGAGAGCTGGACTGGAAGAGGAGTAACCAGGACAGACACTGGCGCCCTGGCTGGGACTAGAACCCCGTGTGCCGTCGCCGCAAGGTGGAGGATTAGCCTAGTGAGCCATGACGCCAGCCAATAGTTTCCACTTTTAAACATCAAATCCCTGACTTCCACAACAGTTTAGGCTTGAGAACAGTTGATGCTGCCAAGAAGTGAAAACAGCTGAGCTAGTGATGAGGGCTGCTGTGGTGACACTGAGCTCCACAGATACCTAAACAATGAGAGGGTTGCAACACTGACGCACGTCGCTGGCTCTCCTTTGGTTAGGACAGCCCTATTTCTTCTTCTGGTTGTGATTTTGTTTGTGTCTGTGTGTGTCTTTCTCTTTGTGTGTCCATTCGTACTCCATCTTTTGTTTCAAAAATTATGCACAAGTATAGTGATGGAGTCAGGTTTTCAAGAGCCATTGGTGATGGTTTTCCCTTTTGATTGTCATTTCTTTAAAAAAATTATTTACTTATTTTACTTGAAAGAAAAAGCAAGAGATAAACAGACAGATCTTTCACCCACTGGTTCACTTCCCAAATATCTACAACTGCCAGGGCAGAGCCAGGGTGAAGCCAGCCACCCAACACTCCACCCTAGTTCCTAATGTGAGTGGCAGAAGCCCAAGTCCTTGGGCCATCAACTGTTCCCTCCAGGAAGCATTAGCAGGAAGATAGATCAGAAGTGGAGGAGTCAGTATGAATAGCAATACCTCAAAGTGGGATGCAAGTGTCCCAAGAAGTGGCTTAATCTGCTGTGCGACAGGGCCCACCCTGATTGTAATTTCTTGCTAGCCTGTCTTTCTTCTCAATCCTAAATTCCCTAGGACACTGGCTTCTCAGTTGCTTGTTATTTTGGATGACTGTCTGGCTCAGAATAACTGCTCAATAAATATGTGGCTAATTAATACATTAAAGAAGCATAGGGAAGTCTAAAGGCATTCACTGAAGCAAGTCATGTTGAGATTTCTAAGGATGCTCAGGGTCTTTTTTTCCTAACAAATTGTAATAGGGATAAAAATACAGTAGATGCTGAAGTTATTGGAACTCTAAGATATACTTGAGTTCTGGACAGTTTTGTCTTAACTTGTGTCATTATCCAACATGGTACTGACTGCCAATGATGTTTTTGCATTGTTCCTGGTAAAGCCTTCTATTCAGACTCCAACTGAGTATTGCTGCATATATAATAAAGTTCTCTTTCTGGATGTCATGAAACTACAAACTCTACTCATTTATATATTCTGCTTTTCAGCCTTATTTCTACCAGTATCAGCTCATTGGACTACTGATTCCAGATCTTAATGAAGGGCAATGAAAGGAAAATGTCTGAGGCAGGCATGTGGCCTAGCGGCTGGGATGCTGGTTAGAGTAATCGTGTTCCATGTTGGAGTGCCTAGGTTTTCCTGGCTCCAACTCCTGATTCCAGATTCCTATTGGCACAGACCCTGGGAAGCTGCAGTGTTGGTTCATATAGCTGGGTTTCTGCCATCCAAGTGGGAGACTTGGATTGAATTCCAAGGTGACCTGCCCCACCTCTGACCATCATGAGCATTTGGGGAGTGGACCAGCAGATGGGAGCTCTCTGTCTCTCTCTGCTTCTTAACAATAATAACAGCGATAAACTATGTGAAAATGGAGTTAAAAGATAATGTGTATTAAAATATAAAGGAAAAATGGTGGTTGACTGTCCTTTTAATTATTGTGCTAAATAAGTTGCTAAGATGATTTTTTAAAAGATTTTATTTATTTATTTGACAGGTAGAGTTACAGACAGTAAGAGAGACAGAAAGGTCTTCCTTCCGTTGGTTCATTCCCCAAATGGCTGCAATGGCTGGAGCTGCTCCGATCTGAAGCCAGGAGCCAGGTGCTTCCTCCCGGTCTCCCATGCGGGTGCAGGGGCCCAAGGTCCTGGGCCATCTTCTACTGCTGTCCCAAGCCATAGCAGAGAGCTGGATCAGAAGAGAAGCAGCCAGGACTAGAACCAGCACCCATACGGGATGCCCGCGCCGCAGGTGGAGGATTAACCCAGTGCACCACGGCACCAGTCCCAACTAAGATGATTTTT